AGAATGCAAAGGAGCCGGAGTCTTAAAGTCGTTTTTCTTGATTAAAAAAAAAGGGGATCTCTATTCTAGGTTCGAACGGAGTGGTTGCTGACCAACCACCGTCCATATTTAGGCCAACTTTTAGCCCAGATGCTTTGTATGGAGGGTGTGTCTGTACCAGCTTCTTTTACGTACACCTGTGTAGAAGCAACTTCCGCAAATTCAAACTTTTCGGCTGTCGTACAAAACCGATCTTCAACTTCATTTGTGGAGTATCAATTGCTAAGCTCTTCCCTTCCTTTCTCTTTCTTTTCGCGTGTGCATCTCTTCTTCTTGCTTTCCTCTTTGCATGCTACATCTTCCCTCCAAAACTATCATCCTTGACTTCCTTTTCTTTCCGAACTATTCCCCCCTGCAAATGTATGCTGCCCGCTGATTATCCCCCTCCCCCCTCTGTACGCCGCGTGCGAAGCCGCGGCGTGTCCACTTGTTTCTTTTTACACTTCTTCTTCTTCTTCTTCTTCTTCTTCTTCTTTTAATTCTTTTCACGAATGAGGCCCTGACCTTATTGTATCCATCTGATCCAGCACAACCACTCAAACAATTAACTTTCAGTTTCAAAAAGGCGTCCGCTGGACGAAATTCCACAGGTCATATCACCCTTTTCCATAGAGGCTCCCACGCAAAACGATTGCAGCGAAGAATTGGCTTTCAACGTAACACTTTGTTGACAGGTAAGGTAGAAAGCATCGACTATGATCCAAATCGTCCCTCTTGGATTGCCCTAGCACGCTGGCACCCCGGATCTACCCAACTCAGAATTGACTTGTTCATTAGCAGTTCCAGGTCTGTACCAATCTGCCACATGACCTGGGGTTAGAGGAGAATAGCAATGGGCTAGGGTTCTCTTGATGTACGTGAAACGGTTCTCACCTGTTAGCAGCAGCGAATGCAGATCCCAGGGCTCGATCCCTAGCTCTCACCTTACCTGTGTACAGTATCGAGTTGACCCCTGAGTGTTTGAACCCGTGACCTGAGTTTTGTTAGTTGTTGTTTGTCTGTCGTAGGTCTGTGTAGTCGTAGGGTTTCGATCTGTAGATCTGTCAAGCAGGAGTTCCAGCCCTGTCGAGGTCGTAGCTATAGGTATTCTGAAAGGTCAAGGTCGTAGCTGCTACAGTACCCGAAAGGCCAAGTCCACAGACTTCCGGAAGGTCTCGGAAGTGGCCTTTCGGAGTGGGCTCACGTTTAGATAGAGGCAAGTGGGCAAGTGGTGGAGCCAACCTCAGTACGTTGGCAGTACGACTGCAGCGAGTCTGCGGTGCAAACCCATGCAGTCAGCGGTACCGGTCCAGTCAGTCCCAGTCCAGTCCAGCATGTACCATGAGGGCCTGTGTGCACCATGGGCCGATGGTCACATGGAAAAGGGCAGACCAGCGAGTTACAGAAGTATAAATCAAGAGGCAGCGCCCAGCCATTCATGGATTTCCTGCGTAAGCCATGAGGAAGCGCTGCCATAGCGACTTGTGCGAGGTGATCTGCAGTGAGCCCGAGGACGAAGTGGGCGAGAAGAGGCTTAGCCATAGCGATAGGGTAGCAGCGGCCATAGTCGCCATAGCTGTAGATGTGTGCGGGTGTGTGTAAGTGTACAGAGAGTGATGCGTGTGGGGTATCCAGGGTGATCCAGAGTTGTGTGTGTGCGAACAGCAGTGTTGAGTAAGTGGCGAATAGAGAGTTGGACAGGCGATGTGTTGCCATAGCCATTCGAAGTGAACTTGTATCTGAGCTGCGTCCTTGGTTACTATATCTGCGAGTTCTGAGTGGGCGCTTGACGCCAGTTTGCTGTGCAACCTGTTTGCATGCATGTGAAGTGTGAATGAGAGTGAGTCTGAATGCAAACGCAGCAGTATGCAGAACTATGCACACTGCCGTCTTAACGCCAGTTTGCTGCGCAACCTGTTTACATGCATGTGAAGTGTGCATGAGAGTGAGTCTGAATGCATACGCAGCAGTATGCAGACCTATGCACACTGCCGTCTTCGCCCGAATAAAATGCCTGGTCAAAAGTTGCCCCGAATACAACTATAATGACCGGGCGTTCTATTCAGGTGAGAAGACCGTAGCTTTTTCAACGGCCGGGGGAGGGGGGGGTTGGGGGTAGATTCATCTCCAGCAATCCCGATGTCTGCGCGGTCAGGGAAAAAAGAAAGAAAAGCAACACCCAAGAGAGCAGCCTGTTCCTACAAAGGTGCTGTTTCTGATGACGTGGTAGGATTATCCGAATGCATGCACCCGAACTTTTCCACCTGAACTTCGACGTAATAAGAGGTGAATTCTTCTGGAACAGTCAGGGTGTGAGCACCGCCAGGGGGAGAAAAACAATGTGCAACAGACAGCACCGGTTTTCCAGACTCTGAATCTAGACATCCCAGGGGATAGAGTCGTCTACAACTCTCCTGGTCAGGGCACAGGGCAGAAGCAATAGCAATGCCCGAGGGAGAGAAGGCCGTCCCTCCTGAAGGGTCCGTTTCTCAGAAAGGGCTACAGTCTTCCCCCGAACAAAACGCACGTATGTACTATTCAACTTTCCCTGGAAAACTCGATTTTTCAAAGTAGCTCCCGAAAATCCGAATAGTACGCACGTTCAAATAGTACGCACGTGTGTACTATTCGAATAGTACGCCTCTCTCTCTCTCTCTCTCTCTCTCTCTCTCTCTCTCTCTCTCTCTCTCTCTCTCTCTCTCTCT